GAATGACCGCGAGAAGTGGTGGGTAGGAAAGTGTAGAGAGATGGAGAAGGCTGCGGCTATTGGTAATAGTCGAAATCTTTTTCGTTTAATAAGGAGTACAGGACCAAGGAAGGCAGGCGTAAGTGAGGTAATTAAGAAGTTTGACAGCACACTGATTCGAATTCAGGAACGTCTTCTTGAACGTTGGGCAGAACATTTAAGACACAGTTTAGCTGGCCCCTTTCGACACAGGACTTTCCTCATTCGATTAAACTTTCGATTCAGAGGTATGTTGTATTTTCGAAACACACTCCAGATCGTAGTTCAATCATCACGTAGCGAAATAGAAATCCGAGCTCATCCTCAGGCTTCACTCATCGTGCGTCGAGCGATCCGGCATCCGAAGCTCGTGTCGCTGCGGAAATTCGGTCAGCTCTGCTATACGGCGCAGAAACTTGGCCATTAAGAAAACAGGATAAATATAGGCTGTCGGTGTTCGAACATCAGTGTCTACGCAGCATGGCACGAATCTGATGGGGCAAGCAGACAATCGATGATGAGGTTAGGTGCAGAGTTTTAGGTAACCGAGGTCGCCTACTGAAACAAGTGGTCGACTTCCATAGATTATGTTGGTTGGGGAATGTGTTAAGCATGTCACCAAATAGGTTGCCACGGTGCGCGATATTTGCCGATGTACACTATGGGTAGAAAAAAGACAAGTATGGTCAGAGTAAAAATTAGCACGCGGGTATGAAATCCCTAACCAGCAGACTCGATCGCTAGGCTCCTTAAAAGGGAACCTCGGGATCATTGTAATCAAGGGTTAGAAACATTGAGTAGTATCGCTGATCGTCGTGCACAGTGACGCTCGTGCATCTCCTCAATTTCTTTGCATCCTTAGTTCACTAATGTTATCCAACTTCTCTTCAAATGTAGTTAAACTTTCCTCTAGGCATATAGTTGTTTTTATACTCTGTGGGTTACCTGCCGCACATGAACAGTGCCTGCGCGAGAACCAGGTTGGTTTTAGACCTGGTATAGGTTGCACCGACCATATTTTGACTTTTTGACAAGGTCTGGAATACATAAATTCTTCTCATAGGCCAATTATTTCTATTGTCTGAGAGCGATGGCGGATCTTATTCAATTCCATAAAGGGAATCCGTCGTGTATAGAGTAAATGAGGCGTGAACTAGAAAGCATTTTACAGTTGTTTCGATCTGATTGGGTCTCGTCAGCAGTGCGAATCTATCGACTCAACTGGGGANAAGTAACCATGCTTGCCACTAGGCCACCAAAAAGCTGATCAGACCTTTTCCATTTTCCGTTTACACGATATAGTACAACCCATCTTTACGAGCAGGTTGCAGGCATCGCATCGCCCTCATATCAGCACTAGCCTCCGAGGTTATGACTCGGTCGGAAACTTTCACAATGAAAAACCACCGGATCAGCCGCGCGGTGACCGAGCGAGTAGCATGGTTGCGCCTTCCCTGTGAGGTCCCGGGTTCGATCCCCAGTTGAGTCAATGGATTTGCGCCGCTGATGAGAACCGATCAGGTCGAGACAGCTATACACTGCTTCCTAGCCTTTACAGCTCACACTTCATTTGCTCCATACACGACGAATTCCCCCTAAGAAATTTACGTTGTCCACCATCTATAGAAGCGGTCTTCGAATCAGTCAATTGATCTATACTCTGGTTTAACCCCTCCCTAAAGACTGGCTTAGGGAAGTAAGTTCACTATTACTACTCATTTAAATCAATAATTAAAGCCAAGTTCCAGATCACTAACCTTTTTTGTTCGAGTTCACTCCGGAAAGCGATTTTTCAGTTACCCGCTCTTTCTTCAACTAATTTAACTTCACAAAGCACGTCATTTCGGACC